CATCCTTGCTTGTCGTAACAGTCATAGAATGGTTTGCGTTGGAGATACCCTAAAGATTGTCTGGTTCTAACCTCCCACTCATGGGCTGGGACACCTTCCACTAGACCCGGCAGCTCAAAGCCCCATCCAAACCGGCCTTGAACACTTTCAGGGTTGGGGCATCCACAACTTCTCTGGGCAACCTCCTCCAGTGGATGCTTTTCTTGTCTTTCTTCCTCTTTGTGTTCAGTTCGGCTCTATCTGCACTATTAATTCAAGCAAGCTTGAAGCTCTTTTCTCACCTCCATTTCCCTTCCTGCAGACTAAACTGTTCTCTGAAAAACTGCTCTTTTTTTGCCTGTTTTTGTCTTTTTGCCTCCTCTGATTCTGGTTTAGATGCTCTTCTTTCTTTTTTCTACTTGTACTTAACTGTAGTGACTCCAGACTATAGTAGTGAGTGTGTTTTCTTTCCTTTATCTGCCAGCATCTGCTCTTGGTAATGCTTTGAGTAACAGGAATGACATGATTTAACTGCATTTAAGACTACAGGCATACATTGTATCATCAAGCCCGACTTTTTGTTAACCATTTCACAAATCATTAAGCCATTTCTTTACAGAGCCTGCTGACACTGCAGGCAGATGAAAGCATTTCAGTTTTCAGGATACTAAATAGCTGTATGCTTCCATCAGGGACATGACAGAGGTGCCACAAGGCCCATATCTAAAATGGCAGCAGATTGACTAACGCTCTTAAAATATTTACATGTTTTATCAAGGTCATATGAATGCTGGACCATCAAGGCACCCAAACTGGAAACTAGGGGAAGGAGAAGGAATAGTCCTTTTTGTTGGAGAGGAAAGGCAGAGCCAGCTGAGGTCTGGAAGAGTCTGGTTGGTTAGCTGAAGTAAATGCAACCATGACCACATTGATCTGAGTCCTAAACCCAAACGTAAAAATAAGTGGATTCCGAGCCTCCAAGATTTGCCTCTCCTGAGCTAAGATAAGCTTGAGGGGCAAACCATTCCTTATGCTGCAGAGGAGAGTAAAATGTTTCTTTTAGTCTCAGTTGGGGCTGATCTGACTATTTTATTTCACGTAAGACTACCACAGACTGGTAACAAACCATATATTTCTTTGATTTTTACTTGTCTTGATTTTGGTGCTGAGGAGGATCAAGGGGGGCAGATTTCAGCAAGAAACTGGTTATTACATGGTGACTCAGGTGCCTCAACATACATGTTTGGTACATGCTGGTATCTCCTAGGGTGCCTGTCTGGCATTCCAAGAAGGCACAGCCTTCCTGTAGGTCCTGATTCTAATCTGTCCAGACATCTTTTCTTGGTGGCTCAGGTACCCTTTGGCACATAAAACAGCAGTAGGTCCTATGCTTAAGTGCTGAGCCACTGCCTAGATGAAATACTCATTTGGTGATGTCCACCTTCCTCCTGAATATGTCTGTATGTTCCACCTCACACAGAGCAGCTAGGAAATTCTGCCAAAATATTATTTTACTTTTCCTACCCTACTGAAAGTTATTCTCATGATTTAAAGAAGTCATCTGTGCACTTTCTTCTCTCTGCTCACTACCCCTGCTTTCCAAACACGCACGGCCAAAACAGTCCAATCACTTATGAACCTTTCCTGCTTCCCATGTTGCACAGCCAGGAGTAACAAGTTGATTAGAACTTCAGCTGTCTCTGTGTGGATTATGCCCACAGGTAGCCAGGAATCTGGACAAGACCTGCAAATCTGGCACTATACTCAGTATACCAGTATATGGTAAATTCTTAGCTACACTATTTACATATTCTTCCCACTGCTCTGACAAGAGCTCCTGAGAGCTCCTGTTTCTGGGCTTAGCACTGGTGAAGCAGCGTGGGTGTCTTCCCACAGGATGCAATCATATTCTTAAGCCTTGCTCCTGCTACAGCCAACTGAAGCTTACCCTTTGCGCCTCAGCTGGCATATAGCTGCACCCTTGGAGCTAATTTGCCAGTGTGGAAAAGCTACTGTGACAAAATAGTTCTGAAGGGCTCCCTTGCAAATGAAGGAATAGTTTCTGTGGCATTAAGCAGATTTATCTTACCCATGAATAACTTTGTTTTCTCTTGCACTGACTTTATCTAAGCCCCTTGATAATTGCATTTGCAAAATGGATTAAGAACATGGATCAATCTGGCTGGCAAGTATCCAAGTCCCTGTGAGGACACCAAGAAAAACACAGAGGTCACATCTTGTTAGCCTAATCATGGAGGTATATTCAAACTTCAAACTTTAAACACTGCCTGCAATTTAATAGGGATGCAAATCTATCATTTTTGGTATAATTGTAGTTTTAATCCTTAAAGAGGTGCAGTATTCTGATGATTATGAAGTACCAACAGACATGCAGACTGAAAAATACTGGGAAGTAATTGTTTGAGTTCATATAACTGGAAAGAAGAGAAGGGTATTACCAATGCTGTTGCATGGATAATATAAATAATAGCAGCTCCCTGTGAAAAGTCAAAATGTAGGCCTGCCACTTTCAAAGGTAGATACTATAATTTCTTTGGATTTAGAATGAATTAAAAGAATATAAGGAGTCCATGAATCACAAAATCCAGTGTATCCTACAACCCATGCTCCATCATTTCCTTCTCCCTAACCAACCATCCTGCCTTGAATTAAGGTATTAACCTGCTGGCACCTCCTAGGTGGCTGTTATGTAGTTAGCCATCAATCTGAACACTGCCAACTAAAATCTATTTATTGACAATTTTTTTGTTCCTGTGTCAGAACGACCATTTAGTGAAACAGCCTTTTCCTGTTCCTGCTGTTTACCTTCTTGTCTATTTTCCAAGCACAGTCAGAGCTCCCTTTAGACTTACTTTGGCTGGGCTCAGATGACCCTAGTCTTCCAGTTTCTCTTTGTAAGACAGTCTTAGCATTCCTTTGCACGGGGGGAGAGCCCTTCCCTGTACCTGCACCTTTCAGAAGTCACCTTTCTGGAGTCCAGAGTTGAAGACAGGGGAGGCCTTTGGGACCCAACGCACAAACACTTTACACGTTTCTTAGGGGATAGTAACACCAGTACACACTAGAGACTGCACGCATTTTTCTTTCCATGGTCATGTTGCACTTGTGGCTTGTAGTACCTGAGTACAAACAGGACATTTTCCCTTTGATTTAGTTGTAGAGCTCCACTTCTAATTGTACAGACTTGCTTAAAACTTGTATACCAGGACCTAGTTTTCAGGATTTCATAATCGCATAAGTTAGATCCAAAGTCTCTGTTTTCCTTCCACTTTGCATATATTAAACTTCTTTTGCTTCACCACACTTCAAATGTGATGAATTCCATTTCTGTAACTTCACTCCCATTTGTCATTTTGCCCTCCTGTTCAGAATCATCATCCTCACCAAAAATAGAAATGAAAATTAATTTCACTTGAAGGCCACACTTAGCAGGCTTTTGCTTTTTTGATACATATGGCTAAAATCTTATTTTGATTTTCTTTGCAGGTTTTACCTCAGTCTGCTGCTCAGCAAGTCTTGCTTTACCTCTGTACTGCCTTGCATCTGTTACTTCTGAAATTTGGTTTTAAATCAAAAGCCTTATTTAGAAGCCCTATTTTTTTTACCCTTCCCTTCAATTTACTTGAAACCAGTACAAGATCCCATAAAGTTAAACCACATAGCAGAAACCCCCTGAGAAAGAACAGGGAAAAGGGGATATTTGTGAGTGTGGTTGCTGTGTATAATTTTCATGATGACTCTTGTCAGTTTCAGCTTACAAGTTATCTCAGACATGGATATGCCTACAGTACAATCAGTAACTCTGACAAATTGGTGACTGTCTTGCCAGATGGGCAAGGAGGTTACCCTTCTCAGCCCTATATGTGTGTTTTTCAGCTCTGGCATGGGGTTTCTGTGAGGGTGGCATCTGCAAAGCAGCACTGAAAGGCTTCACTACCACTTGGATGTGACTCACCAGAGCACAGATGCCCTGTATACCTGGATTTTCAGTCCCAGGAGCTACAAATCCCGAGGCACTGTGCTACACACAGTGTACACACTTCTCTGCATGCTGGGAGGTCTGTATGGTGGAAGGATGGCATTCCCAACACTTCTTCCACAGAAACAAGGTCACACAAGCCACATGAATGAAATTCAGTCCAAAAAAATACCCTTTGAAATCTGAACAGTCTTTTAAAGGTGAGGGCCTCTGCTCCTTGATACAAATGTAAGCAGCAATAAATACCTCTGCAGTGCAAGAATGCATATTAACCTGGCTCTGGATTGCCAGATACCCTCTCTGCAGGGCAGGCAGCTATTAAAAGCTTGGTACTTGTTATCCTTTTATCTCCCTTGGATGTGGTGTAGTGAAGCAGAGCATGCTGATACATTGCCCAGATATGGTGCCTATAGATGTCCTAACAAATAAACTCTCTTTTAGGATTTGGTTACAAGCACTTCAGATTAGTTCAAAAGGAGAGTCTGTGGGAATGTCTCTCTTAGGCTGCTCTTCAGGGTGCATTTCTTTTCCTTCATCACCTCTCTCTTCATTCTGATAATCACTGTGCAAAAGAGAGATGCAGTATGTCATCCAGTGGTGCTAGAATATAATGAGTACCATCAGGAATTCTGCTTGTCTTCCATAAAACTCTCATAACTGAGGGCTATTTTAAAACTCTCTGGCAATTCTGTGCCCATATTTCTTATAAAACAACACTCTACAGCCATCATTTCTCCAGTCAGGCTCATAATTCCTTCTCTCTGCACTTTTTAAACAGCTACCTCACATCACTCTTAGCATAAACTGAGGTTAACTGATATCTGGATAATATCAGTCACTCTTTTCTGATTAGTTACACACACAGCAAGGGGTTTCAGATTCTTTGTTTAGCAGTACTGTCCTGGCTCTTTCTCCTAGGAAAAGCAAAAAAAAAAAAAGGTTATTCTTCTGTCTTTTCAGGTTAAGCTTTCCTGCACAAAACCAAGAAATGTGCTTCTGTTTCCCTTTGTACTGAACTTACCTGCAAAAGGATCCTATTTCCATCGTGGTCTTCCGTCTGCCATCTGCCTTCACTGATGGGGCTGCACGGGTTGGGCAAGAGAGGCACAAGCTGCCCCACATCTTTTACTCTGAACTCCAGCACTGCTGACTCTGTCGTCATTGGCACCTGGCCCTTTGGAAGTTTCTTTAAAGAAAACTGAATGTCTATTTCCATGTTAGAATAGACAGGAAAAACACAAAAGTCTGCTTTTTTCTGACATACAGGTCTTTTCAATATTAACTCATACAATTTCAAAATGTCCCCAAAGTTTTCATTCCTGCAGTATATGGTGAAGCGGATCATTTCTTTCCCGTAGTGCACTGGGCGAATGGCCCACAGAGGAGTCTCTGGAGCCAAAGTGTAAAAGTCTTGGCTGCATGGCATGTAAGGGAGGAATTTCCCATGCATTAGCTCTGTGTGGTGGTAATGCCAAGGTGGCCGCTGAAAGGTTTCATGGAGCTGCAAGATTGGTTCTTCTCCATACTCCTCCTGCAGAAACAGAATGACAGCAAGGGCTGGCTGAGAAACACCAGCCTTAACTGGCTTCCTGTGCTTCTTGGGCACTCGTCTTTCTGAGACTCGGAACAGCTGGAGGTCTGGATGGATCCAGGCTAGAAGCTTATCGATGGCTTGCTGAAGAGTCTTGGATTCACCTGGGTCTGTGATAATATGTACACTAACAAGGAATGGGTCTTGTATGCCTTCCACAGAAAGTTCACCTGAAATATATTAAAAAAAATCCTTTCATTTTGTAATTTGTAACCAAGTTGACAACATTTAGGTGATCCTTAAAGAAGACACTGTCCACTCAGTCACAGTCAGCTTTTTTTTTATCTCTCTCAAGCTCACCCGTATTAAACAAAAAAAAATGTACAGAGATACAGCAACCAAGAAAACAATCAGAAGCAGAGAAATTTCATCATGCATATCATAAGAGTTACTGTTTCTACTGAAGTAGCATCCAGAAGACATTATTCAATGTGTATTCATGTGTTAGAAAAGAGCTGCTCCATATAGCTGAGAGGTAGGAAAGACAAAAGTACTGATGTAGAGTGGGGGTGAAAGGGATATTAGTGATGTGCAGAATGATCATGGTGGACAATGTTCATTCCACCTTGTTTTAATTTGTGCCAACTGGCTTTGGCCATGGAAATCACACCACTGAACTCCACTCTATTACCCTGACATTGGAGTTTTCTTAACACTCAGTTAAGAATGTTTTGTGTCCTGGAGGAAATTGTTCTAATAAGTAAGGTGAAGTTTGTAGGGAGAGGTAATATCTTTTATTACACCGACTGATACAGTTGTGGAAAAAAAAAAAAGCAGAGAAGCCTTCGGGCACATAAGTCTTTCTTCAGGAAAATATATTACTTGTCCCAACAAATTCTCCACTGTTTATATCTTCAGACTATCAAGACTATAATACTACTGCTTCAAGGTTTTTATCAGATTAGGGAAGACTCATAAAAGCAGGAAGCACAAAAAAATTACACTTACTCGGGGGAAGAAAGAAACCTCTAGTTAGCCTTGGCAATGTTCACAGGGGTTCTATCTGTTGTTTGTCCCTGAAACCTCTTTGATAGCTCAGAAGCGGAGCAATGTGTGGTTGGAGGGCTGAGTAGAAATTGCTACTTCTGTTCTGCTGGAGTTGCATGCCAATAAAGATGCATGTGCATGATGATCCAAGACAGTTTAATAAATTAGTCATGTAACCTTGATATTTTTGCTGAAATGGTTCCCCTTGTGTGGTGTTCTGAAACCACCTCCATGTTTGAGACCCTGAGGCTAGGCACAAAGCCCAAATGTGTGAAACCTCAGAAAGACTTCCCAAGCTTTTAATTGTGCAGACCACATTTAATAGGGGAATTGTCTCAAAGGCTATTTCCCCTCCTATTAGCAATCAGTACAAACCTCTCCCTCCTCCTTCCTGGCATCAGAATAACATTCTTGTGATACTTCACCAATTGCTTTAATGGAAAAGCAGCTTTATACGAGTAGTGTATTTTAGTTGTCTTTCAATACAGAATAGCTCAAAGAAAATCTAGATGCAGCTCATAGCTGTCCAGAGAGAGATGGCTGGTAAATATACCATCAGCCTCAATTTGAGGCTGCAGAAAGATATGGCATGCACAGCAAATAGCAAGCATGCATCTTGCCTAAGGGAGATAGAGAAAAATCAAATAAGTAATCAAAAATACAATTACATGAGAGTTCTTGTATCTCTGTGTGAAATGGGTGATGTGGAGTGACTTTGTCAGATAGCTAATGGAAAAAAAAATTGAAGCAAAAAGAAAAACTGTGTCAGTGTGTGGCTAGAGGTTTTGCTGTGGTAATCGTTACTGGTAGGTAATTCTTTGAGATATCCCCATGTGGGGTAGTCACAGTGTGGGAGAAAAACAAAGGGGTGTGTGGGGGGAGGTCCTCTCATGGTCCTTCACATGGGGCAGCAGGACAGGAAGGAAAACAAATTGCAGAGGACAGTGATCTAATAAAACCAGAAAGCAGTCACCATAGCTACGCAGTCATTCATTCTCTAAGACTGGAATAGAAGATGTTCAGCTCTTTTCTCCCTCTGATTCCTTTGTTACACAAATGCTATCAAAGCCTGCAACAAGTGACAGGCTTGATATTTATGCATATAAATGACTGGAGCTCTGAAAGAAGGCTGGGCATAACAATGTGAAGCAGAGAGCCATAGTTGCTGATGCCTTCTTGCTCTGCATTGAAAAAAAAGTCCCTGAGCATGGCTTTTCTGCCCTCCTGTTGCTCAGCATGGTGCATGGACACTGAATGGCTAAAGCATTTTTCACAAGCAGAGCCTTGTGGGAGCCAGTGCCAGCATTAGTATTCTGCAGCCATCACTGCCTGTACCCATTGGCACCAGATGCTCACAGAACCAGCCTCAGAGGCACAGCACAAAGCCATCATTAGGAACTGGGGTTATACATAGAGCAGGGCAAATCATCTTTTTTTGAGCTAGAAGCAACTCAGTTGAGGGGGGAAAAGTGTAACAGATCAGTGGAGAAAGAGCTTCAGTTCTATTTTATGTTATGCTTTTCCTGTAATGCTTTTACACCTTTCATTATGTGGTTTCTGTGCTTCTAAAATGGCAGCTCTTTCTATTTGGGTAAGAAAAAGAGAAACTTCAGAAAAGCAGAAATATGAGGCAACAGGAAACTTTCCCTGAACTGACGTTAAGTTGCAAATTGTTTCTGTGTTACTAACAAGTCTTTTGCTCCATCTGACAAAGAAGGAGGGGAAACAACACCATTTCTCATGACACAGTTCTATTTGCCCCCGGCAAATTGTTACAGAAGCAAATGAAAGCTCTGCATATGTATTAGCCTTCCTGTGTTACTAGTTAATCCCACAGAAAATATCAAAATGCTGAGGCATCTATTTGAAAATAAGCTTCACAGTTCTCATAGCTGTTACATTTTTCCCCTTTCTATGACAGAAGGGGATTAGTTCTTTTTGAGTTGGCAAGCACTAACTTTGCTAAGAGGTAATTACTACCAGGATTGAGAGAGTATTTTACAATTCTAAACTTTTTACTCTTCTGTTAGGTATTATTAATCACGTGTGAGAGGTTAAAGCATCAGCCCAAATTCTGTGGGGCTGTCAGACCTGATATTTTATGATTGAGCTTTGTATGGGTCCTTCTCTACATATTATTTTTATTTTGTTGCCGATGGGATATTGCTGAGCAGAGATAAAAGAAAGTCCTGCAAAGCAGAAGGGCAGTCTTGCCCTGTGGTTCTTCCTTCCCTCCTCTCCCTGCCCAGAAACCACCATCTTTTCATCAGAAAGACAATATGACAGGAAGCAGTGGGTCCTGTCAAGTCTGTCTGTGCCAGCTATCTCATTTCAGTTTGACTTCTCTGAAGTTGAAGCTGCCTTGGCTAGAGAACAGACAGGACAGGTTGCCTACATCCCCTGCTGTGTGTATGGAAAGAGGCAGCCACCTCTGAAAAACCTGTGGAGGATGATCTTGCCTTCCTCATTCCTTTCCTCTCCCCTCACTCTGAACGGAACAGCAGTGCCTGCAGAGGCCAACCTTCTTGGCATCCAGAGCTGCCCAGCCCTTCCCTGGCCAGAGGTGCCCAGCTGGATGGCTATGACAAGGGCTAGGGAAGGGTATAGAGAACAGGTCTTAGGAGGAGCAGCTGAGGGAGCTGGGCTTGTTTAGCCTGGGGAAAAGGAGGCTCAGGGAAGACCTTATTGCTCTCTACAACTGCCTGAAAGGAGGTTGTAGTGAGGTGGGGGTTGGTCTCTTCTCCCAAGTAACAAGCAATAAGACAAGAGGAAATGGCTTCAAGTTGCACCAGTGGAGGCTTAGATTGGATAATAGGAACGATTTCTTCACCAAAAGCATTATCAAGCATTGGAACAGGCTGCCAAAGGAAGTGGTAGAGTCACCACCCCTGGATGGTATTTAAAAGATGTGTAGATGTGGCCTTTAGGGACATGGTTTAGTGGAGACTTGGCAGTGCTTGGTTAACAGTCAAACTTCATGATCTTAGAGGTCTTTTCCAACCTAAATGATTATATGATTCTATGATCTGGTGACACAAATGCCCATGAGTGAAGAGGGAAGGAATGGGTTAAGTCCTCTGCTCCCTTAGGGTGGTGGTTGAGGGGGCAGCCACCATCCATGAGAGATGCCAAGACGACTCAGGTATCTGGTAACACCATTTTTGCTGCAGCTGGCCAGGAAGGCAGAGCTCCTGGCCCAAAGCAGGCACAAGTGGGTGCAACATCAAGTCAGCAACCCCAGCAGCTGGGAAGCACTTAGACTCATCTGCAAATATGGGGAACTGGAGCTAACACTCCTTCTTCCTGGAGTATGTATGCATTTAACATTAAACAACACGAGGCAAAATGTCTGTAGAGTTTTCTTCCATGCCACCTGCATAATTCTAGATTAGAGAATTCTCCCTCTTTGATTTGTTTTTTGGCCCTGGCTCTCTTGCATAGCTTGCTCCAGCAAAACTATGGCCATGACCCGGCAGTCTGGTCCCTCTTTTACACTGTGACAGACCCAGGTTGCATTCCCTCTTGACCAAAAACCAGTCCTGTCCTTCTCGGGGCAGTGTTCCAACCCCTTTTTTATTGCAGGAGAAGTCACCATCAGCAGCCTAAATGAGATCTGATTTTCCAGGCTTCTCCAGTGGACTAAACTCAGCCTGTAGCAAAGTTTAGGAAGGATTTAAGTATCTGTCTCCCTGAAATATCTCTCCTAAACCTTTTGGTGAAACAAGGTATGAACCTAAAGACCTCTCTGTCTCGCCAGGAGGTATTTAATGAGGACTTACCTACAGGGTTAGGCAGACCTGGAAAGTATGTGAGCTAGGACTGAATTTGTAACAAAGAAAGATTGTCCAGGCAGACTGGTTCCTGGCCCCAGTTTGTGCAAGGGAAAAAGCATTTCCAAACTTTGGCAGATATTTTCAATATTCTAGTCACCTACATTTTCAATCTTTTATTCAGGAAACTCAGAGGAAATACCCAACCTAAAAATACTTGACTTTGGTTTTTTTTTTTTTGCTGACCTGTATTATTGCATTGAGAACCTGAACATTGGAATGCTAACTTTCATTTTTCCACTGCAGCATGCTGCTTCATGGGAACCTGAACATATCTTACGCTGTGGGAATGTAAAATAGCCCCAAACACTGTATAAATAATGTCAGAAAAAAAGCACTATAATATTTCCAAT